CAACAAATATTTTTTTAATACAAACTAGGAATAACTGATCTAATTATAATTTTTATTTTTATAATATGGCAACCTTTAACATAAATTTAGGAATATTAATTTTAAGATAGGATTCATACAAGGTTGAAATATCTCTCCGTCTCTAACAATCTCTTCCACTAAATTTATTATAGAAATCTAAAAATTATATTTTTGAAAAATTGAAGCGTTATTTCAAAAATTGATGCACATTCTAATAAATTTTATATTGATAACCAAATATTTTATTATTTATTTGCATTATAAATCTTGTAATGTACTATTTTTCGTACAGTTGTCAACAATACATTTCAAAGTCAATGATATTATAAGATATTTTGAATTTGTTATTATTTATATAATAAATTGTAAACCAAAAATTTTTATTTCAATATATAATATTATAGTTAGTTAGGTTGTATTAATTTTGGATTATAGTTAGTTAGGTTGTAATAATTTGGTTTTTTTTTTTAGCGGATTAGGGTTTTCCTCCAATTCAATATTTTAGTGGTAATTTTTTCATCGATTTAATCCATTATTTATTATAGTCTATGTAAGTATAATTATATACTTTATCCTTGATAAGTCTTTGTTTTTTGTTTTATATAATGCAAATTTAATGGTTAACATAAGTTCATATAGGGAAAAAACATCTCAATATTCGTAAATTGATAATAAAAAAAAAATGAAAGTTAATAATGTTATATCAGTATTTTTTATTGGATTATTAAATAACAATATTTATAATGAATTTTAATAATTTTTTTAGATTTTTTTTAAGGCTTAATCAGTCCAATTCGGCTGATTCCTGATCTGGATCGCCGATTCACCGATCCGGATGGGTTTTGGGGGTGCCCGATCCGGAGCACCAATTCGTTTTTTAAACCTCTGGTTGAAACCAAACTAATATTTATGTCAAAAGTGGCGATAAATTACCAAAAAGCCCCTCTTATATTGGGTTCTATATGTTGATAAGATTTTTTAACAAAAACACATTTTGAGTTTGAAGCACAAAACAAACAGAAGTAGTTCCATTATTTTGGTACAAGTAATTTGATGCAAATTCGAAGAAGGGAAAAGAATCTAAAAGAAATATTACATTGATTGAGAATTATTAGAAACTAACAAGTCTAACTTTCAAAAGCTCAGTGGATTCAATAGAAACTCAACAAATAATATTTTGGAAAAAATGACCATCGAATCGTAAGAAGACCCTCACACAACTTTGTCTATAGACTTTATTTGGAAACCTTATTTCCAGTTTTAATGACATTACAACTCCTCGCTAAAATTGAACTCAAATTTGACACTTTGACATTGAGAAAATAAAATAAGACAAAATCATTCTAGAAAAATCCCTTAAAAGGCACCCCATTTCACATTGACACCAACTTCGTAGGTTTCACCCAAAATGATAGAATGAAAAAATCCTCCAAAAGCACGAAGCCTCAAAATTTGCTACACGTAGTTGGCCTGCATCATGATTTAAATAGGTCAAGCTACTAAATTGCCTTGCTTGTTTAGTGTTATAAATCAGTAATAAGGGTAATTTGGATC